TTAAATTTAGTAGAATCTTTGAAAAGTAATTGAAATTTGATAAAATCTTTTAAAAATAATTGAATTTTTAAAAAAATATTTTAAAAATAATCAAATTTTTAAAGAATTTTAATTATAAATAATTTCTCAAAAAATTATAAAATAGTACATTTTTAAAAATTTCAATTTATTTTGTTCAAAGGTAATTGAATCTTAAAAAAATTATGATAAAACAATTTGAAGAATTAGTTTTTTCTAAATATTGTAATGTAAATTTTTCGAAAATAATTGAATCTTAAATAATTATAATAAAACAATTCGAAGAATTAGTTTTTTTATAAATATTGTAATGTAATTTTTAGTACCTAATTTACATTAATTTTCAATTTTATTGAATTTACACTTGAAGATTATTCATTAAAACTTTTGAGAATTCAATTATTTTTAAAATTTTCAATTAAAATTCTTTAAAAGTTAATTTTCAAAAATTGTAATAAAATACTTGAAAAAATGTTTCTTTAAGAATTAGGTTTATTAACATTTTAAAAAATAATTGAATGTTTAGCTAAATTTTATTAAATTTTATATTGAAAATAATTGAATATTTACGAAGAATTATATGTTATAATTTTATTTCATAAATTAACATTTTAAAAAATAATTAAATGTTCAGCTAAATTTTATTAAATTTTATATTGAAAATAATTGAATTTTTACGAAGAATTATATTTTATAATTTTATTTTATAAATAAATTATATAAATAAATGAATTATTTTCGAAGAATTTTTTTAAAACTTTTTAAAATAACTAAAATTTTTATAATTAAAAATGTACTAAAATAAATTGAATGCAATTATGTTAAAAAATTTTAATAAGATTCTTTGAAACAATTTAATTATTTTCAAAGCTTTCAATAAAATTCATAAATAATAAAATTCTCGCGCATAGATTAAGAATTGCTGATTTTTTGCTATTTTTACCAATAAACTTTTGTAAAATTTTCAGAAATAATTAAATTTTTTTCATTAAAATTGTACTGAAAAAAATTGAATTCAATTATTCTTTTAAAAATTTTAATTTGAAACAATTCAATTATTCTCGAAACTATTTCATTAATATTCTTCTCAAGAATTCTATTATTTTCATAAATAATAAAATTCTTCAAAAGTATTATTATTCTATCGCACTTATTTATTATTTACGAAAATATAATTTGATTCTTAGAAGAGTAAAGAATATTTGAATTTTGTCAAATAAATTTTATTGAAATTTCTGAAAATGATTGAAAAAATAATTCCAGACATCATAGTCCAAGTTTTATTTCAAAAATAATTAGATTTCAATTATTTTCCAAAAGTTAAATAAAATTATTTAAAATATTTCAATTATTTTCAAAATTTTTCGTAACTTTAGATTTGCAAGAATTCAATTATTTTCATAAGTAAAAAAAATTCTTTTGTCGGTTTCATTAATTATGAAAAAAATTGAATTCTTGAGAAGAATAATATTATTAAAAAATTTGAATAATTATAATTGAACTGTTTTTAAGAATTTTATTCAAATTTTTGAATAAACTATAATTAAACTACTGTTTCTAAGAATTTTATTAAATTTTCTGAAAATAATTAAATTGTTTCAAAAGAATTGTTAAAAAAAAATCTAGCAATAATGGAATATTTGCGAAGAATAATTTCTATCAAGATTTTTTTACATAATCAGATTATTTTGAGAATTCTTTTCTAAATTGTATATTGAAAATAATTAAAATTTTCAGAAGAGTATTATTATTTATAAAAATATTCAAACTCTTGCGCAAAATTTTATTAATGTTTTTGAAATTAATTGAATTGCTTCGATAATTTTTATTAAAGTTTTCTAAAATGAAGAATAATTTAGTAAATAATTGAGTTTTTAAAAATTTTAAATCGGAAATTATTTAAAAATTGGAACTGATGCAAAAAATATTTTGCAATTTGCATACTAATAATTTATTATAATAAAATTTGAAGAAGTATATAAATTTTCGTTTATTTGAACGTTCAGAACACTTTAAGGACGTAGTAAATAGTAATCAATAGAAATGATTCTTCTTTTCATGGAATTTGATATATAATAATTCTAAAATAGATATTAGGGATAATAGAAATTCCTCCATAGTGAGAAACATTATTCCCGAGTTTTTTTTTCTTGACAGTAAAGCAGCAAAAAAAAAATAAATAATAATAATTCTGATAGTTGAGGGTGAGTTTATATATACGCAGTGATGCGAATGTGTTTGAAGGGTTGAATTTTATATATACATATCGGAATCGGTTGAAGGCTTTTAGGTTTGTCCGTTTCATCGTTGCCTCGACTATTACGCGACGCTCGTAATGTATATGTGTTATATATCTATATCCCGTCACTTTTTTTTCCTCCTCTCTTTTTTTTTTATTTCACAACCTCCCAACTATATATACTCCCTTCCAGGCAGTGGATTTTTAAAAAATGAGCACGAACATTATTTTTGCACCCCACTCAACGAATCGGCTGACCGGTCCAGCCGCACTCTCACTCGGCGTTTCCGCCGGCTTGCAAAAATGTGCCGCGTCAGAGAATTGTGAAAATGAACAAAAAAAAAAATTCGCTGAGGGGAAAAAAAGGAACGAGAGAAAAATTATGTATTTTTCCCAGTGTGGCTCGGTTGGATGGTCGTTTTAGGACAGATATGCCGGACCGTATGTCGGTGCCAGGAAGCCATTTTCAATTCAATCTGTTAAAAGCACGTCAAAAAGTCACACCGATATATTTCACTGCGGCTTGTGCGTCTCGCGTGAGAAAAACCTCCTCTCTTTATATATATATATATAGACTGACCAGAAAATGGCTCACTACGTTTCGGTAGAAATATCGATATCGAACACGTCCCGTAAATCAGTCGCGTGGAAGTTATATGTATGAAAAATGCTTTTCTCCTGGGGCAGAAATCTCTCAAAAAAAAAGGAAAAAAAAGATTCTGCCCGATTGTCATATGTGAAAATTATGTGTGTTCTCTATGAAAGATTTATAAGCGAATGAGTTACGCGATAAGTGATTGAATATAGAGAATTCTTTGTAAATTTCTGACGAGAGGATTAAATTATAAATCATCAAATGGAGAGTAAAATCAGAAAGTGAGCTATGAGAGAAGATTCCGTCGTTCTCACTCGCTCTCATTGTCCCCACTCCGAAGGAGCGTCGCTTAGGCTCCGCCCCTTCGGAGTGGGGGCAATGAGAGCGAGCGAGAACGAAAGAAACTTCCTTCTCGCTCTCATTGTCCCCACTCCGAAGGGGCGGAGCCTAAGCGACGCTCCTTCGAAGTGGAGACAACAGAGAACGACAGAAATTCACTATAATAATTAAAATAACAATTCTAGACGCACATTAAGAGTATTAAGACACATTAAACATTTAAAAAGCAGAGAAAAATTCAATTAAAAAATACAAACCCCCCCCCCCCGCATGGGAGTCAATTCGCCTCGATACCCCGGGAATAGTACATAATAGTTATGTGAGCGCAGAATCAAAAGTAATTCCTCGGATATTGTGTCATGGAGCGTGTGTACCAGCGCGTTGCGCTTGATAGGTAAGGGCAAGGGTATGATACAGAGGTAATATAGACATATATATATATACACGGGGTTGAAACCATAATACATACAATGGCTTTATTCTATTCTCATTGCGGGTAAATAACATCTGTACATTAGATCACTATAAAATCGGTCGCCATTGCCGCAGTTACAATAGCTCGACCCCATTCAAATCTCGTAGAATATACGATTCAAAGAAACCTCGTCGCGTGACTGTGATGCCGATGATGGTCGCGATTCTTATATATATGTAGTGGTGTACACTTCTCGTCGAGTGGAAATAAGGACTCCCTGATACAGATATTTATTTATTCGTGCCCGCAGAAGGATGAAATATGAAATAAATGAGAGACAATGAGAGAGAAGATAGGAGGAAAAAAAAAACACTGTCAAAGAGGGAAGTAATTTTAATAGAAAAGAGAAATGAGGAGTCTAGGTTATTTTTGTATATTTCTTTATGAATGGAGGTGAAAAACAATACACTGAAAAAAAATATTCTTAATTTAAGAGTATATACTAAAAAAAAGGTGCCCAGGATCAAATCAAAAGAAAAATGTTGTTAACTAAAAGAGAGACGGTAACCAAAAGAGAAAAGGAAGCCAAAAGGAAATGAAAACTAAAAGCGAGGTATAAAAAAAAACCAGAGATAAAAACAGTAAAAGGAACGAATTGCATGAAAATTGCAAGACAGACACAGAGAAGCAGAAAGGAAGATAAATCTAAAGATAAGGAGAGATGATAGGGAAGTGTGCCAGGGGAATGAGAGAGAAAGAGAGACATAGAACTTGTGCTTTAAAACAGTTGGTCGAAACAATAGGCGGAGCATGGAGAGAAACGTCTGAGCATCGCCTGGCATTGTGCGTTTATATTAAACGGGTTTTAAATAAAGGGTAATGTGTTAGTTCATACTCTTTGCTTCTATGTGTATATATCCCGGCGTATATACTAAAATACTTATATAAAAGCGGGTAGGTGGGTATCCGCGGGGACGTGGATAGGTAGGTAGGTATGTCCCCTTTCACTACAGCTCTCCCGGCAGATATAAACTCTTAACATCTCTGTGGGACGCTGCCATGGACCAATGGGGAAACGAGACAGGCGTGGTCGTCTCAAATAGAGTGTTCTGTTTGGTGGAAACCCCGGGGTGGAACACTGTGGCACAGTATTTTATTTCGCGAGTCGATGGAGGGGCTGTTAGTTTCAGCCCTATCGTTCCTTATGCACCGAAACACTCTCCTCTCTCTCTCTCTCTTTCTCTCTTCGCCCCTCTCTCTTTATCTCTCCTCTCTCTACATATAAAGTTTCACTCGCTGTGCAACTTCCCTTTGCCCCCTTCGTCTCTCTTTACACCCCCCTTAGCCAAGTACCACCACCTCCTCCGCGACCAGCCACCGCTTTACCTGAATCGAGTCTCCCGGGATGCTGCAATTGTTGACAACTCCAAGGATAGAGGGGGAGGAGGAGGACGTCGACTACGACGACGACGACACGATTCGTGGGGTGCTCCCAAATCGGCATTTCGACCTCAACACCCCGAACGAGCAGTTCGCGTAACCATGCGCGACACCCCCTTAATATACAATTTCTTCGTTGAGTGGTTACGGATGTTGCAACGGGGGTGTAGTAGCGCAAACGCGTCGCGATTTTTTTAGAAAGACTTTTCCCAATAGAAGAGAGAATAGTAAAAAGTGTCGAGTGATTATTGCCAATATGTGCGGAAGTGTTAAGAATGTTTATAAATAATAATTATCCACGGATTTTGATATCCACTAGGGACCAATTTTTGGAATTATCTCCACGATACACCATACTTGGAATTGTATAATTCTTTTTGCAAATTGGAATAAATTGAGTGAAATTGGAGCGTGTGATATATATATATAATTATTGTAAAAGTGTGCAATTAGTGATAGGGGGAATTTTTACTATTTGGATTGTTGTGACGAAGATAGAAAGAATATAAAGATTGTTGTGACGAAAAAAAGGAAGAATATAAATTCTTTCTGCGAAGATCTTTGTTTTTTGGAGAGTATTTAGGGTATAAAGTTTTTTTTAGAAAAATATTAAAAATGTCATTGCCAAGGGGTGTTGGTTTGGGAGTGGATGTGGGACAGTTGATGCAGCATCAACAGCAGCAGCAGCAACATCATGTGTTGCCCGCTGCATTTTTCTTGCGCGCCAGTGCTGAACGTTATCAAAGGACACCAAAGTGTGCTAGGTGCAGAAATCATGGTGTTGTGTCGGCATTAAAGGGACATAAGCGTTATTGTCGATGGCGGGATTGTGTTTGTGCTAAATGCACTCTCATTGCAGAAAGGCAGAGGGTCATGGCTGCGCAGGTGAGATATTTTTCGGATTCTTTGTTGAATTTCCAAAAATGACAGTGGATTTCGTGTTTGAACCTAAAATTCTTTAGGTACTTTACATACTTAGTTATTTGCTAATGGAATGTCGGTTTTTAGAGTCTTCATTTGTGGAACAATTTGTAGCATAGATATGCGACGAAACAGTAACTTATGATCAAAGTTGCGATTAAAAGTTTGCCAGATCAATAATCCGATTGATTAGAAGGGTATTTCTTTGTAGAAGATAAACAAGAGACAAATCTTTGCAGAATTATTATTATAATCAGTATGCTTTCAGGTCTCGGTTGTTAGAATTCGGATACAATCTCGAATGTTAAACTTTTTGTACAACACAACGCAACAACTATTGTTAAAATTAGAATTAAAAATTTGCTGTTAGATTTCGATCTTTAGAATTCATTGGACCACAAATATATTAAACTTTTCTGGAACATAGTAGAAACAAACAAGTCTTGTCAAAATTAGCATTAAAATTTTTGCTTGATCTCGATTTTTTTGAATCCATTTGACAACAATATTTAAAATTTTGTATAACACAAGTTTGCTGATTAAGCTTCATCTCTAGAATTCGTTGGACCAGAAACGTTTAACTTTTGTACAACATGACAGAAATCTACAACTATTATCAAAATTGGCATTAAAAATTGTTGTTAGATCTCGATCTTCAGAATTCGTTGGACCACAAATGTGTTAAACTTTTCTGGCACAAAACAGAAATAAACGATTCTTATCAAATGTAGCATTAAAAATTTTGCTAGTTTTCGCTTCTTTGAATTCGTTAGACAAAAAATGTTCAAAATTTTGAAAAACACAACAGAAAACAGCAGTAAATCTTCTCAAAATTAGCATTATGATAAGTTTGCTGTTTTTCGATCATTAGAATCATTAGGACCAGAAATGTTTAACTTTTGTGCAACACAACAGAAATCTCCAACTATATTCTCAAAAGTATAGCATTAAAAATTGCTGTTGGATCTCGATTTTCAGAATTCTTTGGATCACAAATATGTTAAACTTTTCTGAAACACCATACAGAAATCAACAACTCTTGTCAAAACTAGCATTAAAATTTTTGCTAAATCTCGATACTTACATCCGTTAGACAACAAAAGTTAAAAATTTTTGTAGAATATGACAGAAAATATTAGCAACATGATAAGTTTGCTGTCTAGATTTCGATTTTTAGAATCCGCTGGATCAGAAATGTATTCATATTTTGTGGACCACTACAGAAAGCAACAAATCTTATCAAAATCAGTATTAAAAATCTGTTATTAGATCTCGAGTTTTAGAATTTGTTAGATCAGAAATATTTAACTTTCGTAACTTTTGTATAGAGCACAACATAAACCAACATAACTCTTATATGAATCACGATTATAAGTTCGCACTTCGGATCTCGATTTTCAGAAGACGTGATATCAAAAATTTTTAAATACTTTTGTTCTGGAACACAACAAAAACCGTACAGGCAAATATTTTCAAAATCATCATTTCGATTCATCGGCTTTTTGGATCATGATCTTTAGAATCCGTTGTATTGAAATATTTCAACTTTTCTAGAACATATAGATATCTTTATTTAAAAATTTTGACAAATTGTTAATTTGGATTCAATTAAAAATCAGAATGCGCACTATTGTATCTTTTTGGCGAGCACTTTTTGGAAACTGTATTGATTTCTTGATCAATCTAAAAAGGTCATACAAAGATACGTATCTTTCTTGTTCTGCACTTCAAAGTTCTTCGAGTTCAAAACTGCTCCAAACTAATTAAGTAAATTCACTTTAGGGTGAGCGATATGGTCCAAGGGGTTCTAAAGAGGATGTTGAAATCAAGGTAGATACAATAAGGGTTTTATTCATCCCTACGGAGCTTTCAACTGGGGTCAAGTTTTACAGATTAAAACTATGGGTGCTTCTATATCCAAAGTGCATTGTATACTTTTAGAAAAATATCTCAATTTTACTGCTACTGAATACTAAAAAAAATCAAATAATACTAATATTGATGCTACCTTTACGGGTAGAATAAGTAAGTAAAAAATATATGAAGAATATTTTTATGCAGGAAACTAGTTTTACTATTACTACTATTAGTCCTACTACACAAAAAAAACGGTAATCTAATTTTAAGAAGCTCCTACTTAAATAGGAACCAAGAATATTCTCCACTTAAATTAAGTGCCCCCACTTAAATTATAAGTAGGAGATATTCTTACAATTTTGCCAATATAATAAGTATCAACAATCACCAAATAAAACATTTTTCCCTTTTCCAAAAGAAAAGTAACTATTCCAACTTTCACTTTCTCAAAGTCTTCAAAAGAAGAAAAAAATACTCTCACAGCCCTTTTTTGTCAAGCGGAAAATGTGTCGCTCCACTTCAAGTTTTCGAGTATATAATGAACCTACATTTATATATTCAGAGATAAACATATATATATGTACATTGCTCATGTAGAAATTTTTTTTAAAATATTTAAAGTAAAGAATATGTGTTTCGCACGTGGGGTTGAAAGGCAAGTTACACCCCTTTTAGCGCGGCATATATATAACTATAAGTATAAGAATTATACTTTTGTAATCTGGGAATAGGTTCGTGCCTATGTATATATACATTTTAGGGGTCGTGGATAATGTTTCCGAAGAATATTACACTCGGGATCGTGTAACGTTACAGGATAATGCTCTACAAACCCCCCCCCCCCCCTTCAAAATTTGTACTTTATACAAACGCCCTAGTTATTCAGCCACTTCAGGTTTAAACCCCTGAATTTAGCAGGATACAGTGACAATTGGCATTTCAACTTAAGAATTTTTTTTTTTGACATCAGCTAATATTATAAGACCGGTTTTTGTCAACGTGGCAATATTTTTTTTACATTGTAAACAGTTTTTTTTGTGTTTCTTTATTTTTTTGTTATTTCTTTGTATTTTTGTTATTTTCTTTGTATTTTTGTTTTTCTCTTTGTATTTTTGTTATTTTTTTCTATTTCTGTTATTTTCTTCGTATTTTTCTTAATTTCTTTGTATTTATTTTATTTCAGGGTTACCACGCTTTTGCTCATTTCAAATTCCCTCACTTTTCCAGGTTTTCCAGAATAAAAAAGGGAATTTTTCCACGTTTTTAATACGAAAATTATTCGAAAATATCAATAACTTCATTTTTCAATAAATATTTAATCATTATTATTTTTTTATATAGAAATTAAAATTTTCAAAAATTTCAAATTCAATAACTTATTTTAAGAATATTATTAGAAAACATGAAGAAAACGATCATTCCGTGTCTTCGACTCGGAGTGATCGTTTTCTTTAAGTCAATTTTTTAAAAATAATTTTTGAAAAAGTTCTTTAAGAATTTTCAAAAAAATTTTTTGCAATTTAATTTTATGAAATTTTGATTATTCTGACAGTCCTCAATTTAAAATGTATTAGAAATTAAAAACTTTAAATAATTAAAAAAAATTCCATTAAACTTTTTGAAAAAACATTAATTCTACAGAATTCTTAATTAGAAGTATGAAAAGTTCAAATTTTCAGAGATTTTAATATTGGAAACCTTGTGAAAATTCAATTATTTCTAAAAATCCACAATATTCAAATATAATCGAAAATTTTAACTGAAATTGATTTTTAAATCAATATTTATTAGAAAATTCTACAAGAATTCAATTATTTAACTACAAAAAAAAAAATATTTTATTAAATAATAAAATGTTTCTTAAAATTGAATTTTCATATAAAGAATTTTATCAACAAAATTTTTAAATAATTTAATTCTCTTGTCAAATATTTAATAAAATTTTTAAGAATAATTTCATTTGTTGAGAAATTTGATAAAACTTGTATTAAAAATAATTGAAATTCTGCCAAGAATTTTATTATAATTATTGATAATTTTTGAAAATAATTGAATTTCAGAGAGGAATTTTATTTTTTATATAGATAAATGAAATTTTAACGAGAATTTAAAAAAAAATTTTTAACATAATTGAATTTCTGCAAAGAATTAGAATACTTTTGAAAAATAATTGAACTTCCTGAGACGAATTTTATTAAAATATCTTTTTAAATAATTGAATTCTTTTGTGAAATTTTATTGAAATAATATAGGCATTGGAAATAATTGAATTTTGACAAATTTTTGAAATTAATTAAATTTCTACGAAGAATTTTATGAAAATTATTTTGAAAAAAATTTTATTGTTACAAAGAATTTCATTATATTTATATGAAAATAATTCAATTTTTTGAAGAAATTTAATTAAAAATGTATTGAAAATAATATTTAAATTGTAATAAATAAATTGTAGCAAAAGTATTTTAAATAATTGAATTTCTTTGCTGAATTTTAATAAAGTTTTTAAGAGTAATTACATTTTTTGAGAGGAATTCCATTAAAATTGTATTAAAAATTATAAATAAATGAAAGTCTGCGATGAGTTTTATTATGAATTTATGAAAATAGTTGAATCCCTGTAAAAAATGTTATTATTTTTTGAAAATTATTGAATAATAATTTTAAATTAAAATTTTGTTAAAAATCTTTAAAAACAGGCTAAATTCCAGAAATTTTTTAAAATTCCATTCTATTTTCAGGTTTTTCATACCCTTTTCTAAATTCCATACCTTTTCCAGGTTTTCCAGGTTTTCTATGCTCTGTGGTAACCATGTATTTTCTTCGTATTTTTAAAATTTCTTTGTATTTTTTTTTTATTTTCTTCGTATTTTTCTTAATTTCTTTGTATTTTTTTTGTATTTTGTTATTTTTTGTCACTCTTTTGTCATTTTTCTCAAGCACGAACATTTTTTTCCATGCAGTATTATACGGAAAGGGATTTATAGTGAAATTGGATATTAGAAGGAACTCTAGACGAAATGAAGCGACAGTTTCTTTTTAAAAAAATTAAGTTCAAAATTTGGACATACAATAAAGAGTGAAATTAATACGCGGTGTTGCATTTCTTTTACTTTCACTTTCTTCGAAATAAAACACGAAGCAATTAATTCTAATAATTCTTTCGAAAGAATGAACATCGAATTTATTATAAATAAAGATATATTGTAATAGAAGCAGAATAGACTTTTATTATGCTGGAACAATTAGAATTATTAGCAAATTAATAATTTTTATTCACCACTTGTTGAATATCATTGGAAATTAAATACCGATAAGGAGAAAGAAAACATACTTCCACTGTCTATTTTGGAACAAATTTTGACGATAAAAAAATTTCCTAAAAGTAGAATTAATATTCGTTTTAATTTACTAATTACTATAAATTTATTATTTTTAATTTTTGCAATTATTCCTAATTTAATTATCATTAATTTACCAATTAATTATCAGCTACGTAATTTTCTTGTAGGTATCAAATTTATACCAAATTAGGTCAAATTGATACCAATTGCGTTTGGATAAAATAAGAATTTTGATTATTATCACGATTTTCGTCAGTTATTCAGTAATTTATTAATTAACCCTCTAATCTATGGTCAAAAATCGTCAGATATTTGGTTAAATGAAAAAAATACGAAAATTGGAAAAAAATGTTATATGTTTATAAACAAATTTTCATAGGTTGCATTGAGAAGACAACAGGCGCAGGAGGAAAGTGAGGCGAGGGAACTTGGTTTGCAATTGCAGTACAATAATGGTACTTGCACAACGGCGCCAGTTATGCCGACGACAACTGGAGTTGGAACGCCAGCTGGAAGTCCGCCACCACATCCAGGACATGTCGCAAGTCCAGTTGGTCTTTCAATTCCAGCCGCAGCAGCGCAAATTCAAACCCAATTGCAACATCAGCAGCCCGATTGCGGAATTCTTCAGCGCATGAGAGTTCCGCAGGACGATTACCGACCAGTGAAGCAGGAGAAAAATGACACAATTGCTCACAATAATTCCATTGGCACCGTTCCAGGTAAATCATTATTTTTGTTTTATATAAATAAAAAAATAATAATTATTATTATTTAATTAATTTTATAAAAAAAATAATTTTTTAAGTAGCCTTGTACGGTTAAAGATGTTTATTAATCCAAAATCCACTCTCACAATAGTAATAATAATAATGATATTTATTATTATTATTATTATTATTATTTAATTCAATATTTTTGGAAGCCATAAAATTCAAAAAGATGTTTTGATTCTTCTGTTTGGCCTAATGGCTTAAGCCATTAGGCCAAACATAAGAATCAAAACATCTTTTATTTATATTATTTATTATTATTATTCGAACGAATATTCGATTGTAATCCCAATCAAAGCGCCGCGGCAGTGTTTTCAAGAATCAGTAGAACAAGTCAGTTAGAATGTTGCCAGAGAGGGACTTTCCCTACTTTCAGTGAAAGAGGTCTGGCTATAGTCAGACCGCAAGTAGAGAGGACCACTCACATCAAATTTATTTAATAAACGCCAAATATTATAAAAATTTTAAAAATAAAAAAAAATATTTATAAAATATATATTTTCAAAATGATACTATATATATATATATATATATATATATTTATACAATAAAATTATTTTTATAAAAAAAATAAAGAAAGTAAAACTTAAAGAACGGATCAACTCAATAAAAAGTAAAAAAAAAATTATTTGATTCACAAATGAACCAAATGTTCACAAATGTTATTAAAAAAATTAGATTATTCGATTAAAATTGTATTATTTGTGAAAATAATTAAATCCCTAAGAAGAATTTTATTATTTTTTGAACATAATTAAATTTCTGACAAGAAAATTAAAACTTAAAATAATTTTTTAAAAAATCCGCAATAAAACTATTTAAAAAAAATTAATTCCACAGAATTATTAGTTAAAAATATGAAAAATTCAGATTTTCAAAGATTTTAATTTCAAACCTTTTGAAAATTCAATTATTTCTAAAAATTCACGCTATAATGCTCTTAATATATTTAATTACAATCTAAAATTTTAACTGAAATTTATTTTTAAATCAATTTTTATTAGAAAATTCTACTATTATAGTATTGCATTTTTTAAATACAAAAATAAATCATTTATTGAATAATTGAATGTTTCTGAAAATTGAATTCTTGTAAAAAATTTTATCAACAAATTTTTCAATAATTGCATTCTTTTGCGAGGACTTTTAATAAAATTTTTAAAAATAGTTACATTTTTCGAGGAATTTGATTAAAATTGTATTTTAAATAATTGAAATTCTGCAATATGATGTTTTATTATTTATGAGAATAATTGATTTCCAAAAAAGAATTCTATTATTTACGAAAATATAATTGAATTTCTAAAAAGAATTTTATTAATTCTGATGATAATTGAATTATTGTGAAGAAATTTATAAAAAATTTGTAAACAATTGAATTCCAGTGAAATTTACGATTATTTATGAAAATAATGAAATGTTTGCGTGGAATTTTGTTAAAATTTTTTTTAAATAATTGAATTCTTTTGGAAAATGTTATTTAAATAGTAGATTCTGAAAATTATTGAATTGAGGAAATTTTTTGAAAATACATAATTGAAATTTTGCTAAGAATTTTATTAAAATTTTTGAAAATAATTGAATTTCTCAAAACTATTTTTTTTAAATTCTCTGAATATATTTGAATTCTTTTGAGAAACTTCATTAAAAAATTAAAAATAATTGAATTGGTTCGAAGAAATTTAAAAAAAAAATTGGTAAATAATTGAATTCCTTTGAATTTTTTATTAAAATTTTGTTTAAATAATTGAATTATTCTGGAAAATTTTATTAAAATAATAGATATTAAACATAATTGAAATGAGGAAAATTTTTGAAAATAATTGAATTTTGGTGAAGAATTTTATTATTTCTAAAGATAATTGAAATTTTGACGAGAATTTAAAAAAATTTTTCAACATAATTGAATTTATGCGAAGAAGTTTATCACTTTTGAAAATAATTGAATTTCTGTAATTCTGTATTTTTACATAATTAATTAATTAGTAAAAGTTTTAATTATAATTCTTTCGAAATTAAATTATTTTAAATGCAATTTGAACTCTTCATGTTGCTTTTTATATATTAAAAGTCATATAAATACATTCGACTGTGTGACTCTTCTAAAAATTCAATTATTGAATTGAAACTCTTTGAAAAATCTATTTTTCTTTGAATTTCTAATGAAATTCTTTAACTTTAATTATCTTCACTACAATTTCACAAAATTCGATTATTTTGATAAATTTCTAATAGAATTTTTAAAAAAATCCAAGTAGCTCTAGAAAATTGAACCAAAATTTTTCAAAAAGATAATTTTCTCAGAATTTTAAATAAAATTGATAAAAAACTTTAAAAATTTTGTAAATAAATAATTATATTATTAATTTCTTCAAAACAATTGAAATTTTCAAATATTTTAGTTTAAAACTTTCTCAAATTCAGTTAATTTTGTAAATTGCAACTGTTTTCAACTAAAATCCTTTTTAAACTGTAATTATTTACTGAAAAATTTTGGTTCAAGCAGGTACCATTTTTTTGGTTTAAATAAAAATTATTAATTCAAAGTCAATTTATTTCATTTTAATAAAAATAAATGATTGGTCCAAGTACAATTTATTTTATTTAAATGAAAATTATTTGATTCGAGAAAATATTTATTTGATAAGAGACAACTAAGTTAATTATTTGAATTAATATTATTTACGTTGTTTAAATTGTATTTTCTTTAAATAGTGAAACTATTGGTACAAAAAAATTTATTTTATTTAAATAAAAATTATTTCATTCAAATAAATATTTATTCAATAATAAACAAGTAATCGATTAGCTGAATCAAATAAATTTCCTTTTTTACTGTAATAGATACGGCGAAAAAAAGTTTTTACAATTTTTTCTATAGTTTATCTACAATAAACAATTTTGCAATCATAAAATAAAAACTTTTTCTTGTGTACAATTTTTCTCTATAGTTTATCTACAATAACAATTTGGCATTCGTAAAATAAATTTAAATGAAATAAATATTTAATTTAAAATAAAATAAATTTTTGTTTTCATAATATTTCTCCCACCCAAAAAGAAAAAATGTTTATTGGTATTAATCGAAAATTTGAATATAAAAATAAGTGCCCAAAGTATACAATACACTTAATTCTGACGCGTGTTTGTCGAGATTTCTCTTTATTTCTTTCTTTTTTTTTAAAAAAACACTATAAACTTCGAAGAAAGGAAATAAATAAAAGACAGAAATAAAGAGGAAAAGAAGGGTTGCATTTACAGCATTTAGAATATACACGCGAGCATAAGGGATATAAAGTATGTATGAATTAAGCTGCCACTAACGAACGACTTATATTTCGAGTGGTATAATAAGGGGCTCGCGTTTGACTATTATTTACTTAACCTCATGACCATAAACTAAGTGTGAGTGTTATATACATGTGCCATGCCACTTTCTAATGGGCTCTCGTACGTGTGCCACTATATACACGATTTTCAAGTACAATTGGCAGTTGCTCCTTCTTTTTTTTCTCTGCTTTTTTTATGTGTGTATTTTTATAACGCAATGCATTGGCTTTTGCATTTACTTTTCATGTGTATAATATACATATAATAAACGTACGCACTCATGGTCACGTGTCCTCTTGTTTAATTCTTTCCTACGTATATATTGCACATTTAGCAGACGGCAACAATTTCTTTTCGCATGTTAATTTTTTGCTTTATTAAAAATAAATTTTTCATTGGCAAATTTAGTTTTTTAAATAAATTGTATAACAGTTTTTCTAAGGATATCAAATTGAGACGAAAGGAAAATTTTTTCCTTTTTTTAAAATATAATTTTTCATTAGCAAATTTAGTTTTTTAAATAAATTTGAAACAGTTTTTCTAAGGATATCAAATTGAGACAAAAAACGAATCGTTTTTTGTCTCAATTTAATATCCTTAGAAAAACTGTTTCAAATTTAAATGCTGAATATTAAAAAAAAAAATGAAAATCGATTTTTTTCTGTATTCCTATAAATTTTTTTTTCGCAAAACTTTTTCTTTATGTGAGAATTTATTTGGCATACAAACTTCTCTTTCTCTCTCTCTCTCTCTCTCTCTCTCTCTCTCTCTCTTTTTATTTATATTTATTACCTATTATTTATCAAGAAGTTCGAATTTTAGAAACTTTTTTTTACGAAAAATATTTTGTGATAAAATAATCAGGTTTGCGACAAAAATTTTTAATTTTTTTTCCCTGACTTTTCCCTCATTTACAGACAAAATTTAGACTTTTTCTCTGACCTTGAAGAATATTCTGACTCACTTCAAAAATTATTAGATACTCAAAAAAAAAATGTTCTATTACATTTATTAACAAATTTCTTCAAAAGTAAAATTATTCGACTTCATCAAATTTTCAAATTCAAACCTTCTGAAATTCAATAACTTATAATAAATTTAAAATGACAGAGCAATAAAATCATTAGTTTATATCATAAGAATATTGTAACTATATAAATTCAAATTTTCAAAGATTTTAATTTGAACCCTTTTCAAAATTCAATTATTTCCAAAAATTTAAGTTATAATATTTTTAATATTCAATTATAATTTAAAATTTTAAGTGAAATACATTTTTTAATCAATTTTTATTAGAAAATTTTTCGAGAATTTAATTATTTAAATACAAAAATAAATAATTTATGAAATAACTCAATATTTCTTAAAATTGAATTTTTATGAAGAATTTTGTCAAAAATTTTTAAAAATAATTGAATTCTTTCGGCGAATTTTGAAAAAAAAAATTTAAGAATAAATGCAATTTTCTATAATTTTAATTAAAATTGTATAAAAAATAATTGAAATTCTTGCAACGAATTTAATTAAAATTTTTTTTAAAGAATTGAATTCTTGGAAAGAATTTTATTAAAATTTCTCAAATAATTGAATTGCTTAGAAGATTTTTATTTTTTAAGAAA